TACACACACACACACACGAACAGCTGCTTTAAGTGTTCTGGAAACTGCTTCCAAACAATGGTAGCCAGCTTCTGTGCTTACATTTTATTGATCAGGAACAGCTACCAGCAATTACAACACAGAATCCTGATATTTGGAGGACAGGTTCTGGCCCCAGTGTACCCTGGCTCCAGCAAGCCACGTCAGAAACAGGCTGCAGCTGTCTGCTATGAGATTTGGGGGGTGGGTAGCTGCTACCAGGCAAAAGGCTAAAATCAACTGAAATCAACTGGTACTACCACAGCATAGTACCAGTCAAACTTCCCTCTGGAAGCAGCAAGCATCCAAATAGACTCTAGAATTCAAAACAAGTCACCTCTAACAGTTCTACCAATATAATTGTTGTTTAGATGAGCAGATTCCTGGTGCTTTTCCCTCTGCCAACTTCTTTAATGTAACCCTGGGATCTTCCAACATGCTCCTAAAATTATCCTTCCCAGACAACCTGTGTTCATCTAACTCCACTTAAAATACACCTACACTTAACCATAGTGTTAGTTCATTATGCCTAGACTATTTACATAAACAATATGGTCCATCCTGAACACCTACTTTCCTCCTAGAGTCTGGAATTTGGGTAGGTGCTAGGCAGAGGGTCCTTGGGCACTGACTCTCTCACAAACTTCCCTGGCTACAGATGTGATATACATGTTGCTGCATTCTCATTGCTAGGAGTGAGCACTGTGTGATCATAATGGGAGGGAGAAAGCATTAGAAAGCCTTCACATGGATTCCTACACTCGGTTTGTTTCTTTTCCCCTTATCATCTGGATATGTGTCCTTACTATACAACTGGAATAAATCCTAAGTCATGAATATACACATGCTGAGTCCCATGAATTCTTCTAGGGAATGGATTGTGAGGATAGTCTTGGGTACTCCCTGCCAAGGGTTAATATGAAGATTAAATGCCCTAATATGTGTAAAACATTTAACATAATGCCTAGGTCATGATCAGTTCTCAAAATAAGAATGGGGAGGTTTTGGTGGCAGTGGGGATGGTGCTCATAGAACCATGAACCCTATCCCTCCATCCTCTCCCACTATATACTCTCATATCTCTTAGCCTCTTATTGAATACTCAACCTGACACCTTTGTAATAGTATTTTACTAACAAGTATCTCAAATTCAGTCTCCTATTGTGCCACATCAGATTAGCAAGGCCCAAAGAGATCAAATGAAATGGTCCAAGTCATGTCATGGATCAGTGAGAGCTGAGGGAAGAAACCAAGTTTGTCGTTTATGTCCTACATTGGCTTCACTGCCGCCTGGTATGTGTGAGGCAGGCTACGAATAGATATAGTTAGCCTTGAGCCAGGCTGTCAAGAACCTAGCTGCCATGAAGGGGTTTTCTTTTTTTTTTTTTTTTTTTTTTTTTTTTCGTGAGCGAAAGTGGAGTGGGGGGCGAGGAACATGAAAAGCTAGAAAGGAAAAGGAGCCATAAAAAGAAAATGCACATTATCTGATCTAAAGGCAGGGTGAAATGATTTCTCCTCTGCATCTCCAATTCAACAGTATTACTCCAGGGGTGGGATGAGGGGTAAAGCAGTGAGCAGAAGGTGGCACACATTGGGGAACAGTTAATATATTCCAGAGTTGGAAAAAGGCACAAAACGGACTAAGGAGAGAGCAGAAGCCTTCAGCAAAGAGTTCCAATATAGGAACCAGAGCCTGTTAAGAGAATCCTCGGTCGATTCTCAAAATTCTGGACCATATATGCAACTTAAAAGACGGGATCAGACGGGACCAGAGACCCACTTGGGCCCAGTCTAGAGAACCCAGTCCACCCTCCTGCCCACCACGGAATGAGCCAATGAGTGAGCAAGAACCGAGCACTCAAAACATGCAGCAGGACAGCCAAAAAGACGCTCCCGCGGACCTTGGGAGATGAAAACTCCCGGGGCTGTGGACTGAAGAGATGACCTGGCTGAGGGCGCGCAGAGAGCAGCCACCGTGGAGGGGAGGAATCAGTCCCCTCCGCGCGCCCTTCCCCAGCCCCGGACCAATCCCCTCCCAGCTGGCTCCGCGCCTGACAGATACATCTCGCCTGGGGCGCAAAGACTGCAGACCAGCGGCCAGGTCGCCTCTGGCACTGACAGGACCCCAGCACCTGTCCAGGCCTGCTGTCGCGGAGGTCTTCAGAGCCGGAAATGCATCACCCACCTTCCTACCCTCAGCTCGCGCCCCCTTTAGCACACCTAGAGGCCCCCTCGGCTTGCGTGTGGGTGGTTCCTCCTGGGCTCCGCCCACCCGCGTAGCTCCGCCCTTAACCTCCCGCGGAGCTGGGGATCGCTAGTGCCCAACCCTCCCAGGGCTGGCAGGCTGACAGCCCGTGGGCAGATTTCCCAGGAACAGGCCAGGTTCTGCTGGAGGAAGAGCCAGCATTCACTACCCTTCAGAAAGGTGGCTGGACCGGCTGGCATTACAGGAATCATTGTCGCATGGTGTGTCAAAGACAGAATCCCCTCTATGCCTGCCGGACAAGACCCTGCGAGAGACTCACTCCTCTTCTGAGCTTTGCAGCCACAGTGCCCCAGAGGGCAGTGCTCCTGCACCCTGGGATAAACCTGTCAGTGTCCCTTGAGCAGCACCACCCCTCCCATCACCACTGCCACTCACAGCACACGTGGACTTGGTCTCCTAGCCCTCCAGCACTGTGCTTGGTCACCACTTGATCCACGTGGACTTCCTGACTCCTCACCACCCTTCGTGCAGCATTTAACACAATTATTTAATTTGAGCAATGATTTAATATCTTTCTCCCTCTATTAGACCATAAACTCCAAAAGTGCAGGGACTGTCTCTCTCATCATGGCTATATTTTCAGCTTTTAGCTAAGTTTCTGCCAGTAAGTGACCAGTAAATACCTATTGAGTGGATGGATAGGGCTACTCCAGAACGGAGGGAACAAGTGGATATGAGCAAGAATGAATGAACGAAGGTAAGAATAAATGTAAAATAGCGTTTCACCTGTTAAAAGCCAGGGGATGCATTTCAGCTCGATGGATTTGGCCCAAGGTTTCTGACTGTGAATTCTAAAGCTAAGAAGTGATGGTGCTAAGTACTTGCTATAGCTGCAGTCTGAGCAGGCTTTCTGGAGGCAGAGTGTGGATGGTTCCTGCTCTCTGCCAAGAAGAACCACACCAGCAAGGAAGCTCTCAATCAGGAAGGCATAAGGACTGATGTTTGTCTGAGGAGCCAGAGCTCCTGTTTGCAGGTGAAGAAGTTAAAGAATAATTTAGAGGTTTTCAGAACTGATTGAACCACATCAATTGCACCAGTGGGCTAGGCTGCTTGACTAAAGCCTTGGTGTCAATGTCATGCTTTCTCTTCAGTGAGCCTGCTGGCAGGAACTGGCCTGACACCCCTTGGAAGACCCCTGGTCAACAGGCCAAGAGCAGCTATCAGAGAAAGTCCCTGCTGCACTTGAACCTAGAGCCTCGGGGTAAAAGGAAGCTATTGGTTGAGGTCCCCATTGGCTTTGACATCTCTAATTCTGGTATTCTGACTTTTTGTTAGAGAAGTGCACAGAAAAGGCAGCTGAGCCAACGGGAGGGAGGGCTCCAGGTGAGAGGCTCAGAGACTAAGGGCTGAGCTTCTGCTTGAAGGATCCTCAGTCTAGAAAGTTCGGTGAGCCCCTCAGATGAAATTCACTCACAGTATCTTCCAAATGAAGTCAGTACCCCCCTCCACCTGCTCAGCTTTTCTAGGGTCTAAAGCCCAGCATTGCTGCTTTTTTCCTCAGGGTTAGAATAGCAAAAGTCACCATGGAAAGACATACATTGATTCTTCCCTGGCCTTGGACTGTGTACGCAGCTAGAAGCAAATATCAAACATGATTCCCACAAGGCTCCACCCACCCCCAGAAAAGATCTTTGAGGCCAGAATGGCAGACAGACTAGGGGAAAGATGAAGCAATAAATACAAAGTGGCCCTGGGGGCCAGGGGAGGGGGTAGAGATATGAGAAGAGGTTTCAATATATGAACTAACATGTATGGAATACTAACCTGAGCCTGGGACTATTCTAAGTCTTTTCCATGTGGTATCTCTTTTTCCCTGTACCCATTTCACAGATGAAGGAATGGAGGCACAGTGAGGTTAAGTAACCTAACCAACTAGGAAGGGGAGCATTAGTCAAGCTGTTAAGAATGAAAAAGGGGTGCATATGAAAATTTGTAAATGCTTGGTGCACATCTGCTGAGTGAATGAGCTAGCAAATGAATATGTGAGTAAATAAAGATTTGTATTATGGTTTGGATCTGACTATTCCCTGGCAGCTAATGTATGAGATAATGCTGGATTGGTGAGATGCCAAATGATTAGATTGAGAGAGCTGTACTACCTAATCCGTGGATAAACCCATTTGATTAATAATTGTGAAAAGATTACTATGTTGAGTATTACTATACTTACCACTGTAAGCAGGTAGGATGTAGGAAGTAGGCCATTGGAGGCATACCTTTGGGGTTTATATTTGGTCCCTCATACTTCATTTTCTTTCTCTGCTTTTGAGCTCCCATGAGCTGAGCAGCTTTCCTCCACCATGCCCTTCCACCACTGTGCTTCGCCTCACCTTCTGTCCAAAGCGATGGAGCAGGCTGACGTGAATTGAACCTCTGAAACCATGAACCCAAAATAAACTTTTCCTCCTCTAAGTTGTTCTTGGCAGTTATTTTGATTACAGTAACAAAAAGATGACTAACACAACATGAGCTGTCAATAGGTCATAGAGGTAGGAGTAGACTCGAGCCAGGCTTAGAGATGAAGTGCCAGCTCACAGCAAAGAATGCAGCTGGTAAGCAGGCTGTGACCATAACTAGAGGTTTCTCTCTGACCTTCCTTCTGGGCACCTCCTCCTGCTCTCACCTGATCAGGCTCAGTCACGTGTTAAATCAGGAGTATATATTTCTCCCAGGTGCTAGCTCACTAGGGTTATTTACCACAATTTTCATCCACAGAGCAAGGTTCAGGTGGACAGACCTTTGCATTACCGACCTGTCAAAGCTTCACAAAACTCTTCTGGCATCCAGAGAACACCAGAGCTTAGCCTGCAGGAGCATAGCCATGGTACTCTGGGGTCAAGTGCTGGGAGCCTTGCTGGTGATCCTTGTGGGATACCTGTGTCTTCCAGGGCTACTCCGACGACGCAAGCCCCAGGAACCTCCTCTAGACAAGGGCTCCGTGCCCTGGCTGGGCCATGCCATAGCTTTCCGGAAGAATATGTTTGAATTCTTAAAGGGAATGCGGGCCAAGCATGGGGATGTTTTCACAGTGCAGCTAGGGGGCCAGTACTTCACCTTTGTAATGGATCCCCTCTCCTTTGGCCCCATCATCAAGGACACTCAGAGAACACTAGATTTTGTGCAGTATGCGCAAGAACTGGTACGAAAGGTATTTGGATACCAATCTACAGAGGGGGACCACCAGATGGTACATTCAGCCAGTAGCAAGCATCTGATGGGAGATGGCTTGGAGGATCTCAATAAGGTCATGCTGAACAGCCTGTCCTTGATAATGTTGGGGCCCAAAGGCTGGAGTCTGGATGCCAGTTTCTGGCATGAGGATGGTCTCTTCCAGTTCTGCTACAATACCTTGTTCAAGGCTGGTTACCTGAGCTTGTTTGGCTATACAAAGAACGTGGCACAGGACCTGCTACAGGCAGAAGAGCTATTCATGAATTTCCGCAGGTTTGATCTTCTTTTTCCAAGGTTTGTCTACTCCCTGCTGAGTCCCCGGGAGTGGCTAGAAGTGGGCCAGCTCCAGCGTCTCTTTCACAAGACACTCTCTGTGGAACACAACCTGGAGAAGCATGGCGTGAGCGGCTGGTTATGCTACATGCTTCAGTTTCTGAGGGAGCAGGGAGTGGCCCCAGCTATGCAGGACAAGTTCAATTTCATGATGCTCTGGGCTTCCCAAGGGAACACAGGGCCAACCTCTTTCTGGGCTCTCTTGTTCCTCCTGAAGCACCCAGAAGCCATGCAGGCTGTGAGGAAGGAGGCCACTGAAGTCCTAGGTGAAGCCAGGCTGGAAGCCACCCAGTTCTTCACCTTCAAACTGAGCGCCTTACAACACACCCCAGTGCTGAACAGCGTAATGGAGGAGACCCTGAGGCTGGCAGCTTCACCCACCCTCCTCAGGGCAATACAGAAGGACTATATCTTGAAGATGGCCAATGGACAAGAGTACCTGCTCCGTCATGGAGATAAAGTGGCTCTCTTCCCCTACCTCTCAGTGCACATGGACCCTGACATCCACCCCAACCCCACTACCTTCAAGTATGATCGATTCCTGAACCCCAATGGCAGCAGAAAAATGCACTTCTATAAGGAGGGCAAGAAGATCCACCACTACAACATGCCTTGGGGCTCAGGCGTCTCCATCTGCCCTGGTAGGTTTTTTGCCCTCAGTGAAATGAAACTCTTTATTTTGATCATGGTTACATATTTTGACCTGGAGCTGATGGACCCTGATACACCTGTGCCCCCTATGGACCCACAGCGCTGGGGCTTTGGCACCTTACAGCCCAGGCACGACGTGCGCTTCAGATACCGCCTAAAGTGTATGGAATAAGCTCTGCCAAGGCAGTCAAGCCTGGTCAGAGGGGCCTACTGTGGTCTCTCGCCTTTTCTCACTCCTCTGCAGCTCCAGGCCCTCTCTGACTATCCATCCCTCCTTCTGGTTCTATGGCCACTCTGACTCTATCCTGTTGTCCTTGCTATCTGACCTCCTAGCCATCTGTCAGGTTTACCACTCTTCCTTTAAAACACCATCTCTCCCAACGGGTTTTGCAGAACCTTCGTCTCGCAGGAAGTCCAAGCAGAAGGGGACTTGTCTAAGAGCAATTCAGTTTGAGACATGGTGCCTGCCTTGAGTAGTCCTGCCTACAGAAGCCGGCTCCCACGTAGAACACGGTATCTTGCAAACATGGAACTCTCACCCCACATTGTTCCACAACACTTATTCCACATCCTTTTGGGGGTTTGTGGGGTTTGGGGAGGTGGGGTGGGTATTTTTTTTTTTTGTGTGTGTGTGTGTGTGTGTGTGTCTTTTCCTTTTGGAACTGGGGGTCTAACCCAGGGTTTCATGTATGTGAGACAAAAGCTTTGCCACTGAGCTACATCCTGGCCCTGAAACTCAGGTTCTAGAACAGTATTGTCATATAGAAATTTGAGGCAAGCCACGTATGTCATTTTAAATTTTCTAGTAGATATATTTTTCAAAAATAAAAAAAGTAAAATTTCTTTTGTATGTTTATTTAGCCCGATATATCTAAAGAACTCACATTTCAATTTGTGACCAATATTTTAAAAAATAATGAAATAATTTACATTCCTTTTTTTTTTTGTCCTATCTTCAAAATCTGGTAGTGCAGCATTCCTCAATCTAAAATAGACACATTCCAGGCACTTAGTAGTCAAGGGTGGGTGGTGGCTATCACACAGATCTAGAGAAACACTCCCTTTGATGTAAGAATTATTCTAGGTCCCTCCTTGGTGCCCCCCACCCCAGCGTGGTTTCAATCTCCCCGTAGTTACCGCAACCATTGCTAAATTGGAGCTTTCTCTAGCCCCAGACCCTCCATCTCCCCATGGGAAACCCACAACCTTTGATCCAGCTTGTCCCCACCAGAATAAAGCATCTCTCCTGAGCGCTGTCCAGACCACTCCATCCTGATTTCCCTGCCTCTCTCTGCTCAGGACTTTCCTCCACATCCCACTGCCAAAGGCACACCCTCACCCTCTCTTGCCCTCCCCCACATATAGTTAGGCCCTTGTCCAGTCAGCTTAATCCCCTGTAATGGCCCTGAAATGTATCCTCTCCTCCTACCCACAGCTACTTCTTAGACCCATGACTTTATAATGAGAATTAAAAGCTGCTTTTGCTAAAAGCACTCACTTTTTACTTGGGCATGCAGATGCTCAGTGGGTAACTGAAAACAGCATAAAACTTGGCATTTCTGCCTTCATTTTGTATGTTTCCTTTATTGCCTTAAGCTTTGGGTCTCATCCCTGCTCAGCTCTGTATATAGGCATGTAAATATTTAAGGAATGTTCATCCAAAGCTAATAATCCTCCCCCTATCGAGGCTGAAGACATCAAAATAAGGAAAACCAGGGTATTTTCAAGATTTTAAGCGACATCAAAAATCTTGGACAGCTTTTACAATAATCTGTTCCAGATTCCTAGAATGGAGCCTAGAAGTCTCCAATCATTGCCCTACACCTTCCAGAAACAGCAGAGCCTCCCAGGCAGATCGCTGTATGATGAAACTGTCCCCAGCAATTAGGAGCAATTGTTTCATGGGAACTGAATGTCCTCCTTCCAGAAACAAAAGTCTGATGGATAAGAATTCTGTGACGCAGATGAAGATTGCCCCCTCAATTAATAAAGGACTTTTCCGGAGTCACCTCACAGAACCAGAACTGAGATACTGATCCACCAGAACACAGTTTGACCGAGACTGCTTAATTATGCTCACCTCTCACCCCTGCATCAGTACTTCCTGTATTTAAACCTAAAGTTCATGTCAACACCCCAAGATGGGCTGAGGTGCTTGGTTTCATTGGTCTTCCCAATATGGTCACATTGATGAGAGTCCCTTTCCTGCTTTCCACCATTCCTTTTCCCATTTGGCTTTTGGGATAAGTGAGGCCCAAGCTTAGGACTCTGGTAACACCTCTGCATTTCTCTCTACACCAGGCCTGCCTGTCCTTGCTTCACACAGCCACCAGAGGCCCTTTTCCAAAAGCACCTCTGATTGCCACCTGCCGATGTCTTGGGGGGGCACCAGAATCAGGAGGCACCACACAGCTTTGTAGGTTCAAACAGCAATTCTTTATTCCGGATCTCACACCAGCCTCCACACACGTTCAGGGGCAGTCTCGTTCTGCCGCACACTT